TAATTGCTTTTTTGAAATAGTAATCACTTACTTTACTCATTACCTGGAAATAATGTAATCAGATTACAGTAAAGTATTATTTTTAACGCACTGGCGACCATCTCTGTTAATTAACAAACTACATAAAAAAAAAGCAACCCAAACGTTCTTGTTGGTTTAGAGACTAACATGGTGTCTTTGTGTTTCTAGATGTTGCAGCTCTGAAAATGAAGTTGTCTTCTACGGTGGACTTGTCTCAAATCAATAGGGATGTCTTCTTAAATCAGGTTAGAATTTTTCTTATCCAGAGTTAAACTGACCCCTGTCCAAACTGACCTCCTGCAACACTAACGTTTTGGACATGTGGTGTATACTTGTATACAGCGAATAACAAATGTATTAGAACACATGTCATGAAAACCAGAAAACAAAAGTATCTTAAATGTCTGCAAAAGAAAACTTGCTTAAAATTCATATTGCTATTCATTAAGAAAATAACAATTTGGATTCACATTTTCAAGTAAGTAAAGTAAAAGTAATATTTTATTTATATAGCACCTTTCAAGATAAAATCACAAAGTGCTTTACAGAGGCAGAAAACAGACATTAAAATCTCAAACAAAACAAAATCAACCAAAAGCGAGTTTAAAGAGATTTTTAACTGCTTTTTAAAAGACATGACTGAGTCCACAGATCTCAAACTCAAAGGGAGTGAGTTCCAGAGTCTGGGAGCCACTGATACAAACGTTCTGTCACCTTTTGTTTTTAACCTTGTATGCGGGACAACCAGCAACCCCTGGTCACAAGACCTCAGGGACCTGCTGGGGTGATAAGAAAGGAGAAGATCACTTAAGTAAGTTGGAGCTACACCATGCAGGGCCCTATAAGTCATGATTATGATCTTAAATTGGACCCTGAACTTGACAGGGAGCCAGTGCAGCTGAATCAGCAGGGGAGTGGCATGGGAGTATTTGTGATGCTTTGTCAGAAGCCTAGCTTCAGCATTCTGAACACCCTGCAGTCGTTCCAGGGAGGCATTACTTAAGCAAGTAAACAAGGAATTACAATAGTCTAAGCGAGATGAAACAAAAGCATGAATAATCATTTCCAATTCGGAACGTGACACAATGGGACTCAGCTTAGCAATATCATTCACGAATTTCAGCTGGCGCACTGGACTTCTCTGAGAAATCTCTGAGCATAATTATGCTGTGTGGCAAGAAATGTATTTTGAGTCATTTAAAAGTCTGCACTCATGACTCACGTTATGACATATTTCAACAAATATACATTTTCCTCAACATAAAAATATTAAAACTGTTTTGCAGATGACATCTCAGATCCACTTTCCAAAGAAAAACCACACTTGAGAGAGCAGCAATGTTTTCTCACTGCTCCTTCTTTCTCCTCAGATTAAACAGAAACTGCAGTCATACGGACTGCCTGATGACGTCAGTGTGCGCCTCATAAGCAGTGTGCCACAGATTGGCGTAACTGCAGCGTCCTCTAATTCTACAACATGAACCTGAAGTCCTGCATCTGCATGCTCTATCTTCAGTCTTTCTGTACCAATTGGAAACATCTGTTTGGAAAGATAATACAAAATCTTACTTATCACACATAATTTTGCATTCAACCTGTCTGTCATAAAAATTGGTGATAAAACATTATTTGAAGTAGTGTTAAATTTTTAAAGGAATCATTCAAGATTTGTAATGTGTGTAATATAGTTCTAGATAATTCTATTTCTTATACTCTCAGTGTATATATACATGC